ACACGTAGTCTGTGAATGGCTAGTTACATGTTATCATTAACAGTAAAAAAAAAAAAAAAATTGGGAGCCCATCAAATCATACTTCACAAACCTAATAATTCTGTTCCTCCTAGACTTATTATCACAGAATGCATTTAAATTTTCTTTCTAAATGGCTATTATTTCCATATAAATTTCTTTCTAAGTAACTATTAATCACATATTTAATTTTAAAATGTTGTAACCCATCTTTCCCCTATAGTGGCTTCCTGGTATCATTTTAATCATCTGGAAGCATGGATTTCAGTGGCATTAAGGACAACTGCAGTAGGATTTGACTGTCATCACTATCTGTACCCAAAACTTATTTATCATCCCCAGCTGCAAATCTGTACCCATTAAATACTGATTCTCCTTTTCTCCCTCTTTCTACCTACTGGTAATAATAGATATTCTTTTCTTCCCTTTGAATCTGCCTATTCCAGATTCTTTCTACAAACAGAATGTTATATCTGTCTTATGTGTCTACCTTACTACTCTTAGCATAATGTTTCCCTTCCAGTTCTAAGAAGCTTCTTTCCCAGGGTATTTTTAACAAAAGATGCCAGCTTTGTGCGATTGTACCTGGGATGACAAGTACAATCCCACCCACCCAGAGACCCTTAATTTTGGCTTTGTCATTCTGGTCAGTTACTCAACTGAAAACCCACCTGCCTCTGAGCTGGTGGAGCCTCACACAGTTCAAGGATGGGCAGCTATCCCCCTCACAAGGGTCAGCTCTGTGTGAAGCTCTTGGGTGTCTTGCGAGTCTCTTAACAAACCTCCCAGATGGGCCATCTGACTGACGTCACAGGGGCCACTGGCCCCCATGTGGATTAGCATGAAAAAGCTCCTAGTCATTGTCTAATTATCTGACTCTCAGCTTCACCCTGTAGAGACCCTAATTAGTGTCTCATGTATGGAGGCTACATTTTTTTTTAATTATTTTTTAACAGGTAGATTATAGACGGTGAGGAGCAGAGAGAGAGGTCTTCCATCTACTGGTTTACTCCCCAGATGGCCACAACAGCTGGACTGAGCCAATCCAAGGCCAGAATCCAAGAGCTTCTTCTGGGTCTTGCATACAGATGCAAGGGCCCAAGCCCTTGGGCCATCTTCTGCTACTTTCCCAGGCCATAGCAGAGAGCTGGATTGGAAGAGGGGCACCCGAGACTAGAACCGGCACCCATATGGGATGCCGGCACTGCAGGCAGAGTCTTAACCTGCACCACAGTGCCAGCCCCTAAAATAGATTCCATTGCTCCCAGTGTCTTTTTAAAATTGAATACTATCTACTGTAAACAATCCTGTGAGCTTAAGAAAGTTCCAAAATCCCCCTTTATTTTCTTTAATTGGAAGAAGATAGGAACCAAAACAGCATTAGAGGGAATTTGAAAGTACAAAGGATTAAGGGCCTGGGTGTAAAAGAGGCTGAGAGGGAGAGCATAGAGAGAAAAATCCTTCTAGGGCGTGACTCTTAGGCACCAGATAATCATTTTCTCCAAGTATCAGAGGGTCCTTTACCCAAGAACTAGGTTCAACGAAGTAAACAGAGCGAACACAAATAACACGGGAAAAGATAAACACAAAAATAAGACCCTGTGCCTCTATCTACCTAAGGAGAAGCAATAAGTGGTCACCTTGAGATAGCTGTAGTGACAGGGAATTCCATCTTGTTTGAAATAACCAAGTGCTAGTCTAATTTTATCTCCTTAAGCATATTATTTCATCAAGTTGGAAGCCTATGACCTTTAACAAAGACAACATGCACCTGCTCACTTCAGACACCATCAGCAGTTGGCCTTCATCACTCCAACAAGCATCTGCTAAGTTTCTGCTGTGTTTTAATGTATCTGATAGACTGCACTTAGTTTGGATTTTAAGCAGGCTAATCAACTTAGCCCATGGCCTAGAGCACACATTTACCAAGCCTGGGAGAGAGCCCAGCACTTGTTCTCTGTACCAAAGACAAAAGCCAGCTGTGAGGACAAAGGGGTAGCAAGGTATATTTTCTTTATTCCTACATGGATCTCTCGCTTCACCCCCTAGCCCATGCTGAAAGCAGAAGCATTTTCCTTGGGGATACAATATATATGGTTAGAAATTGTCTTCTACAGTAGAGGATCCCAGAATGACAGTGCCCAATATTCTAATACTACTCTGCTCTCCCTCCCAGGAATAGCAATGAACTTTTAGAGGTATACAGTCTAACTGGGCACGCCAATCAGGAATGAAAGGCCATCTACAAAGACTTGCTGAAGGCTGCGATTTGGATTTTGTTTGCCCTCCAAAGGTTCATGTGCTGGAGGCTTGGTCCCCGAGGTGGGTGGATTTGAAAGGTGCTAAGCCCTAGAGAGAGGTCTGGCGCCAGGGCTCAATAGGCTAATCCTCCACCTGTGGCGCCGGCACACCAGGTTCTAGGCCCAGTCAGGGCGCCGGATTCTGTCCCGGTTGCCCCTCTTCCAGGCCAGCTCTCTGCTATGGCCCGGGAGTGCAGTGGAGGATGGCCCAAGTGCTTGGGCCCTGCACCCCCTGGGAGACCAGAAGCACCTGGCTCCTGCCTTCGGATCAGCGCGGTGCACCGGCCGCAGCATGGCGGCCATTGGAGGGTGAACCAACAGCAAAAAGGAAGACCTTTCTCTCTGTCTCTCTCTATCCACTCTGCCTGTCAAAAAAAAAAAAAAAAAAAAAAGACCTAGAGGTGTTTAGGTCACTGAGGACACTGCCCTGGGGAAAGATGAAGTTCTCCTGAGGTGAACTATCCCAAGAGCAAGTTGTTATAAAAGCCTGAGCCTGACACCTGAGCTGCTTTCTGGCTTCCTTTATCAAGGTATGATCATTTACTCCTGCACCTGCTCCTGCTACCCACCAAGGGTCCCTTGGGACAGCCTGTACTGTGCTCCTTGGAATTTCAGCCTCAAACTGTGGGCTGAGTAAACCTCTTTTCTTTTTAAAGTTAGCCTATCCCTGTTATTTCATTATATCAATGAAAAGTTGATATACAAACCAAAACTGAACTCAATGTTTGGGCTCTATATTCTCTCTGATCTGTAATATGTAGGAGTGGACTTCACTACCCACCAGAATCCCTGCATGTTGGCAAGTGCTTGGTGAACATTTGCTGGATGGGTGGACAAAGATGAGATGCATGTGTCAGTGGATAAACAGACTGATAAATGCATTAGGATGCTTATTATTTGTTAACTTATTAATGTATAACTGAAGATATCTCTATCTTTCCTCCAAAGATAAATCATTCTCAGTGAGGAAGACTAAAGAGAAACTCCAACATCCATGCCAATGGTAGACAGGTTGGGGAAAGAGAAAGTTTAAAAGCAATTGAAATTGGAGGAAGACAGGGACTCTTTGAGTAAATGGCAGGTGTCACTGCTTTCTTCTCATGGGGTAGCAAACTTTACCCAGGGTGGTTAAGTAACAAACAGAGAGAGACCTACTTAACTGACCAGTCCAGAGAGACTCGAGGAGCTGAAAACCCAGGACTCTAATCTGAGCAGGACTGGTTTTCTGTCTTTCAATTTCACTCACACTGGTTTCTCGTTTGTCTGTGCTGGCTACATCCTGTAGCTCTTCCTCTCCTATGGCTATGGGACAGCTGCCATGAGTGCGCAGGACTGTATCACTACAGAATGATATCCTGCAGAGAATAGCACATCCACTTTTTTGCACCCATCAACAAATTCCTTTGTCTGAAATGGATTTTCCAGGGTCAAGTCCCACTCCCAACCCCAAACAGATTCTTTGGTATTAGAGTGGGTTCACTGAGAAGCCAGACAGAGATGCATGGACACAGGTGTCAGGGAGAGCAGCCTCAGGGAGTTGCTGTGAGCTGCGAGCTGCATTCTGCATGTTTGTGCACTCACAGGACTGACTGCTGTGTTTTCATCCTTGCATCCCTAGATCGCTGATTGCTTTACGTTTCCAAATCATGGTGCAGAAAGGACCCTCAGACATCACCTGGCTTGATGCTCACTGTATTTTTATATAACCCTATATTTTAGTCATATTAAATTGAAACCCAAAAAGTTTGATATGTGCAGAATCATGCTGTCATTTGAAGGCAGGACTACAGCCCTGTTGGGTACAGATTCCATGGCTGTATGTACACATATTGAGAACTAAACACATGTCTGCCCTGAATAAATGCTTTATATGCAGTGTCACATTTGAACTTAATTGTTTAAGCTCAGATTATTATTTCATAGATGAGGGAAATGAGATTCAGAATGTTTGTAACTTGCCTAAATTTGTACAGTCATTGAGTGGCACAGCTGAGAGGTTATACTGAGTCAATGCTGTTAATCATCATACCAGGGACATCTGCATTTCAAGTTCATGATTCAAAAGTATATCATCCACCACCTCTTATTGACTTATAGCTCTCCTTAAATCAGCTTAAGTGTAGTATTGTTACCTGTTGCTACTTTGTACTAAGAATAAAGTCAATGGAATCCAGGTTTGATGGGCTACTTATATTTTTGCAATTATATGTGGAAACAAGTAGAGCATTATGGTAATGAGAGAATGCTATTGAAAAATGACCTCACCTACCACTAGCAATAAATGTACACGCTTGTGAGAACTCTGACCTATGTCAGATGGTCAGGAAGGCTGTATTTCTGGTTCTTGAGGGACTTAAAGGTTCATTATACTGTGGGTTAGAGCTCCTGAATGAGGTCTGGTAACATTCAGTGAAAGAATCTTCAGCAGATGGCCAGTAGTTAAGTAACTCACTTTGTGTACATTTATGCAGAGAAATACAGCTTTATAGATGTGTAGGTCGTTCGGTATGGATGTGTAGGTCGTTCGGTATGGATGTGTAGGTCGTTCGGTATGGATGTGTAGGTCGTTCAGTATGCATATATAGTAAATTCAGTATAGGTATTAGGTAATACAATATAGATATTAGATAATTCAGTATAGAGATAGGTAATTCAGTAACACTGTATATTATACTTACAAGGATGGGTTGCATGAGGGAATTGAGTAAATCAGATTCTGAAGATGGAGACAAGCATCAGCACTATTTAGAAGGTCTTGGACTCACCCCGTTAATCCTTTGGAGCCGTACAACAAAGGCCAAGGAATGCTTGTCTGGCATTTCCAAGGCACGAGGTTTCACTTTCAGTCATCGGAGCCGGACTGCATCCCGTCGCTGCCGCCAGGAATCGTGCACGAAGGACTCCAGTCGCTTAAACCTGAATTCTTTTCTTTTCCTCTGTCAGAGAAGACAGACGGTCGTCTTCAGCATGTTCTGCCTACAGTCATCTGTATGCCTACAGCTGTCATTCCTGATACTGACAGAGTGTATTTCTCCCTGTGTTCCACAAGGACAAGCAAACAAGCCTCCTCTATTCTTATGAGGGTCTTTAATGGAGTTAAGATTTCTTTCTTATGGTGCCCAAAATTTTGAAGTTGATTGTGGGGAGCAACTCGGACTAGACTAAGTTACTGGAATTAAGACTTATTCTATGCATCTGCTCTCCCACAATATGGCGCTATGGGGTGAGTTCACTGGTGGAGAGGACCATTGCAAGACTTCGCCTGAAGAAACTGTTCAGTGGCGTCTTTGTCCAGATCACCCCCCAAAACCTAAAACTGCTGCGGATAGTGGAACCTTACGTGACCTGGGGATTTCCAAATCTGAAGTCTGTCCGGGAACTCATCCTGAAACGTGGGCAAGCAAGGGTCAACGATAAGAGCATCCCTCTGACAGACAACACCGTGATTGAGGAGCACCTGGGGAGATTTGGTGTCATCTGCTTGGAAGACCTCATTCATGAAATTGCCTTCCCGGGGAAGTATTTCCAGAATATTGCGAGGTTCCTGCGCCCTTTCCAGCTGTCAGTGGCCCGTCATGCTAGCAAGAACAGAGTGGGCTTCCTCAAGGAGATGGGCTCACCTGGCTATCGGGGTGAACGCATCAATCAGCTCATCCGCCAGCTGAACTAGACCCAGGATATCTGGAAAGATGTTTTTTTGGAATTATTATCAAGTATCTTCAGAGAAGATTTTCTTCCTTATCCCCGGAAATTGGAAAGGACAGATCAAGGGAAAGATAGTTGTGATCATGGCAGGCACCTCATCCCTACCCCGTTCCAAGGAGAGGTTCCACTGTCTTCCATCTTGGGTGCTGCCTCCTCTGGACTCAGCACCGACCATTGAAGAAGGAGTCTTCCTTTGTCACAGCTTCTGTCCTGGCATTTGATTTTGGTGAATGACTGGCCGGAGCATCTGTCAAGATTTCCCAGGACTTGGGGGCTACCAGGGCCTTGTTTTGAAGAGACTTGAAATACAGTTAGGAAGCGGAGCACCAAAACAGTGCTCAGCTGTGTCTGCTGTGGATCCATGTTTCAGCTGCTCAATGACGACTGCAGGCACTCTCACTTGGCTGGCTTCTCAATGTGTCTGATGGCTTTTCTGTTCTAGCTTGGAGCTGCCGTACTCCTTTTCTTAGCTCAGAATTTTTCAAAGGAAGGATCCCTTCACCGGGCAAACACATACCCAAAATTTTACTTGGAATTTCAGGGAGCTCATAGAACCCCTCTCAGGCAGAGCTCCCCGGGGTGAGGAAGTCCGGCTCTTAAGGAGGGTTGGTCTCCCAGGCCTTCATCTTGCTAATCTCTGGTTCTGTATCCTACCGAATACCAGAGTTGACCAAGGTGGCTTTTCCCCATCAAGCCAGTTGGGTGTTTTCCGCTAGCACACTGGCAGCTCTTGTGGCTTCTTGTGCCATCTGTAAGTCTGGAAATGCCCACCCTTTCCCCCTCTGGCTTGGGGGTTGAATTTCCTGGTTTCCCTGATGATTAAGCATCAGATCAGGAAGTGGCGAACCATTTTCTCAGTTTGGTTTGAGTGAAATTAGCACTGGCTTTTTAAGGCCCCAAATAAACAGCTTAGTTGGACCTTTTCCTTTCATATTCTAGACCCCAGAAGTCTTGCTCTTTATCCTGTTGATGACATAATAGGCCAGCAACAAGAGTTATGGGGAAATTAATCCTGGGGAGGGAGGGGTTAGTCAGTCAGTACATCTTTGTCTTTCATCAGCGGTCCAGCCCTAAATTGCCTCAGCTTGTGATCTAAGCAGTTGGTGAGGATGTGCCAGGCCTAAGTTAAACAGGAAAACCTGCTTTAGGGCTGTGTTCCTGGGTCCCTTCAAATCAACTTTGCTTTAATTTTGGCTCATGGAGCCTTTAAACATAGCTGTGAAATGAGTTAGCAGTAAAACAATGCATTAAAACATGCCAGGTTGTGAGGTAATTAATTAGGATGGTTGGCTCCAGAGTTCACCTGGCAGAAGATGTCACTCTTATACTGTAAAACATTGTGAAATCGGATTACTTTAAAATGATGTATTACCAAGTCATGGAAAAACAGTCGTGAGTCTGAAAACAGGCCTTGTACCTCAGACCTGTCATACTAAATACGAGGACAGGCTGGGGTCGTGGCACAGTGGGTTAAGGTGGCTGCTTGCAATGTGGACATCCCATGTAAGGGCACCAGTCGGATCCAGCCTGCTCCACTTCTGATCTGGCTCCCTGCCACCCCTGAGAGAGACCTGGATGGAGAGTGCCGGGCTGCTGGCTTTCGCCTGGCCCAGCCCAGCTGTTGCAGCCATTTAGGAAACAAACCAATGGGTGGAAGACCTCTCTCTCTCCCCCTCTGAAAAATATTTTTAAAAAAAATAAATATGGGAACAATGTCTCTGCTCTTCTGCACAATGAAGCTGATACCCTCTAGCCAGTCTGGTTATTGAATTATGCCAAATAGAAGTAAGTGTATAGTTCTTTGTGAATAAAAAGTTTTCATAAGAAAAAAAAAAAAAAAAAAAAGAAGGTCTTGGGTAGTTAAAGGCCAGCGCCGCGGCTCACTAGGCTAATCCTCCGCCTTGCGGCGCCGGCACACCGGGTTCTAGTCCCGGTCGGGGCGCCGGATTCTGTCCCGGCTACCCCTCTTCCAGGCCAGCTCTCTGCTGTGGCCAGGGAGTGCAGTGGAGGATGGCCCAAGTGCTTGGGCCCTGCACCCCATGGGAGACCAGGAGAAGCACCTGGCTCCTGCCATTGGATCAGCGCCGTGCGCTGGTCGCAGCGCGCCAGCCGTGGCGGCCATTGGAGGGTGAACCAACGGCAAAGGAAGACCTTTCTCTTTGTCTCTCTCTCTCACTGTCCACTCTGCCTGTCAAAAAAATAAATAAAAAGAAGGTCTTGGGTAGTTAAAAATGGAACCAAGTCTGTAAAGAAGACTCTTAACAGAGTCTCAACATTGGTATGCTCACCTAGAGGTGTTAAATTGTTTACATTTGTCAAAATGCAAATTCCAAGCTCCAAAGACTGTGTGCACTAAATCTGGGGCCAACCCAGGGAGCTGCACAATCAGCAAGCACACAGAAAGAGTCTGATGCAAGTATTCCGAGGACCACACCTTGAAAGCTGTGCTGCAAACACAGCTCTTACAGAAGCCACACATAGCCATCTGGTGAGTTCTGAGGAGCCATGCCAGCTCATCACCTCCTGTATTTTTAGTTCCAGAAAAAGATGAAAAAATTTCTGCAACCCAGTCCAAATGCAGAACTATTCTTCCTTAAATGTTCATTAGAGGACCTTAACCATATGGCGAATGCACAGTCAGAACCGACTGATCACTTTTTAATGTCAGTTTCATCATAATCATGCAGCATCAGAAAGCCGTGCATTAAGATGTCACCTCCCTTTCCTCCTAGCCCTAGTTTAAAATTCATCTCGGAAGCAAAACATGCTGTGATTCCTCCAATGTATTTGGAATTGTCAAAATGGGAAGATATATATAGAGTCCACTTTTGTAGAATATGAAATTTCACTACACACAAAATTGCCAATTAGGATAGGAGGCTCAGAAACAATCTTAATGTTCAAGCAGACTGCATTTTTCCCCTCTGCATGAGTAATTTTAACTAAATAGGTTTTTCTTCCCTTTGGCACTGCCTATAGAATCTTCTCTACTTATGGTAAAAGCAACAGTAATTGCCCCTGTCAGCAATTAGAGCACTCTTTTACATTTGTTTACATTTATTTCCATATCTTCATTTGCACAGTTTTGCTTTCATATGCAGGATTGAACGGATTGAACCATATATCAGTGTTTTTTTTTTTTTTCTGTGTTATTTTGATCTCTCCATCCTGTGATCCTCTTCTAAAGTGGCAGACAACTCACTGTAAGACCAAAGCTTACACCACACACAACCCAAAGCCTATCAAAATAGCTGCAAACTTCAAATAAATGTCATTTTAAGATCACCTATACCTTTTTCTAGAATGTCCTACACTTTGAAATCTTCTAAGACTACAAAAATATATGGACATTCATGGATTCATAAAAAGCCTATTTTTAGAACTGAAAATTTAAGCCGCACTCCAGCTACTACCCCACCATTCTTTTTTACAATGACATACTTTCAGTTCATTTTATAATCACAATATTAATCCTCCACTAAGTAAATAATTCAAAAATAGTAAAAAGAAAACAGTTTCTCAACAGTAGAGATGAGGGCTACAAACAATAACCAAATCTCAAAATGTCTATTTCAATCATATACATTATCATTTTTTGTACTTGGTTAACCCAATTCAGGGAAAACATGATATTTGTCTTTTGGGGTCTGGCTTATTTCCCTAAGAATAATAATTTTCAATTATATCAATTTTGTTGCAAAAGACAGGATTTCATTTTCTATGACTGAGTAGTAATCTATAGTGTGTGCATGTGAGACCACATTTTCTTTATCTAGTCATCGCTTGATGCACATCTGGGTTGATTCCATATCTTGGCTATTGTGAATACAGCTGTAATAAACTTCATGGTATAGATAACTATTTCATATGCTTACTTCATTTCATTTTAGTAAATTCCCAGAAAAGAGAAGGCTGGGTGATATGATAGCTCTATCTTCAGATTTCTGAGGAACCTCCATACTGGCTGTACTAGTTTACATTCCCACTAACAGTAGATTAAGGTACCATTTTCGCCACATCCTTACCAGCATTCATTGTTTGTTGATTTCTGTATGAGAACCATTCTTACTGGGGAGAGGTGAAACCTCATTGTGGTTTTTATTTGCATTTCCCTGATAGCTAGTGATCCTGAGCATTTTTTGATGTGGCTGGTGGCCATTTGGATTTCATCTTTTGAAAAATAACTGTTGAAGTCCTTTGCCCATTTCTTGATTGTTTTATTGTTGAGTTCCTTGAGCTATTTATAGATTCTGGGTAGTAATCCTTTATCAGTTGCATAGTTTGCAAATATTTTCTCCCATTCTGATGGTTGCCTCTTCACTTTGTTGAGTGTTACCTTTGCAGTGCAGAAGCTTTTCAGCTTGATGTAATCCCATTTGTCTATTTTGGAATTGATTGCCTGTGATTCTAGGATCTTTTCCAAGGAGTCTTTGCCAATGCCTATGTCTTGTAGAGTTTCTCCAATGTTCTTCACTAGTAATTTGAGGGTATCAATTCATACATTTGGATCCTAGATCCATCTTGAGTTGATTTTTATATAAGGTATAAGGTAGGGGACTTTTCTAGTATAGCACATGAAGACCCAATTTTCCCAACACAATTTGTTGAAGAGATTGTCCAGGGATTGATTTTTAGCTCCTTTGTCAAATATTAGTTGGTTGTAGATGTGTGGATTGATTTCTGGGGTTTCTGTTCTGTTCCACTGGTCTAGATGTCTATTTTTATGCCAGTACCAGGCTGTTTTGAGTATAACTGCCCTGTAGTATGTCTTGAAATCTGGTATGGTGCTGTGATGTCTCCAGTTTTATATTTGTTCTATAAGATTGCTTTACCTGTTCGTGGTCTCCTGTGTTTCCATGCAAATTTCAGCATCATTTTTTTCTATATCTGTGAAGAATGTTGTTGGTATTTTGATGGGTATGACATTGAATCTGTAAATTGCTTTCGGTAGTATGGGCATTTTGATAATACTGATTCTGCCAATCCATGAACATGAAAGATTTTTCCATTTTTGGTGTCTTCTATTTCTTTTTAATGTTTTATAATTTTCATTGTGGAGATCTTGGTTAAATTTATTCCAAGATTTTAAATTATTTGAACCCATGATGAAAGGGATTGATCTTGTAAGTTCTTTCTCAGTCACGGCATTGTCTGTTTACACAAACTATTGATTTTTGTGTGTTAATATATTTTTGTGACTATTATACCCTGCCAATTTGTCACTCTTTTATGAGTTCCAGTAGTGGAGCTTTAGGTTCTCCTATAGCTTTAGAGTTATGTCATCTACAAAGAGGGATAGTTTGACTTCCTCCTTTCCAATTTGTATCCCTTTGCCTCTCTAGTTTCTGATCTTAGCGGGAATGCTTCCAAGTTTTCCCCATTCAATATGATGCTGTGGGTTTGTCATATATATTATCTTGATGGTGTTGACAAATGTTCCTTCTATACCATTATTTGCTTAAGGTTTGTTTTGTTTTGTTTTGTTTTTGACAGGCAGAATTAGAGAGACAGAGAAAGGTCTTCCTTCCATTGGTTCACCCCCACAAATGGCTGCCCTGGCCAGCGCGCTGCGCCGTTCTGAAGCCAGGAGCTTCCTCCTGGCCTCCCATGTGGGTGCAGGGGCCCAAGCACTTGGGCCATCCTCCACTGCCTTCCCGGGCCACAGCAGAGAGCTGGACTGGAAGAGGGGCAACCAGGACAGAACCGGCACCCCAACCGGGACTAGAACCCGGGGTGCTGGCGCCACAGGTGGAGGATTAGCCTAGTGAGCCATGGTGCTGACCTGCTTAAGGTTTTTATCATGAAAAGGTGTTATATTTTTAAAAATGCTTTCTCCGTATCTATTGAGATAATCATGGTTTTTATTCTCAATTTAATGTGATGTATCACATTTATTGATTTGTGTTAAACCATCCCTTCCTAGCAGGAATA